CCCCGCTTTAGGTTTGGTGTGCTGCGGTACAGCATGCCTTCAGGCGTAACCACTACTGCCACCTAGGGGGCCGTTATGGAAACAACCCCTTATCGAGGTCTGCAGCGTAATGCACGGCGGTAATCCAACGCGGCCCATCCCAGCTCATCAGCGATGAGAGCTGCCTTATACGTCCTATCGAGTGTCCTCGCCGCGGGCCAGTTGCGAGGCCGTCGGGCTGTCTGCCGTCTCCGTCAGCGTCATGGGCGCGCTCCCGACCCGTCCCCTCCCGGCCGGCAGTCGCCAGGGCCACGCGACGTTACCAGCCGGAAGAGCCAGCCATTCCAGCGGCCACAGCCACCAATCTGCCGGGCCACGGCAGATTGTCGGCAGTTGGACCGCTCACGGGCTGCCCAACTCGGCTGCGGTCGTTTGTCAGGGTTCTGTCGGCCGCATCCTGCACCCGAGGACGGCTCGCCCCTCCCCCCGGCCCGCCCCCACCCGCCGCGGGTATGGCCCACTGCCGGCGGGGAGGGGCGGGGGGCGGTCTGGAGCTCGCGGCTTCCGGGATCAGCACTTGGATGTGTCGTCGTCGCCTTGCTGACTAGTTGCAAGTTGCCATCACGGAAATTCCGTCTAGATATCGACTCACGAAGGGCCGGGTTGCGAGCGGTGCACTGCTAGCCTTGAATGTCGGCTCGCATTATTTCCTGCTTCTGGTTGGGAAAAGCGCCAGAAGTTGGCAAGGCTATAGAACTAAAGCGGTATCGCCCTTGGGGTTTATGCTCCTTGTTTTTAGTTTTGAAGAAGTTAAGTGGATATTTAATATATGAAAATGCGAATCAATGATTTTCGAAGATTTAGCCGTAATGTGTAATGACAGGGCCACGACGTAGTGTGTAGTCGGTGCTATTTATCCAAAACCGTGAGACGGAGCGATACATATCGTGGCCTTCTTGCCTACATAATTCTGCTGAATCACTGGCCACCTGTTCGGCGCTGCTCAGCCGTCAATTCGTGTCCAGCAGCGGGGCCATTTTCCAGAAATGTCACCGACTCCGCTCATCACTCGGTGTCGGAGTCGCCGTGTTGAGCCGCTGCGGGCCGGCGCGCCCACGGCCGCTCGTGAAACGTCTCCTCACAACCGGCGGCCGGTCCCGAAACAGCGCCGGCGGCGGGGGAGGCGGCTAAAAGCGTCCAGCGGCTCCGTTTTGGTCGCTCCATTGATCGCCGCCCGCCCACTAACCCTGACCGCCGCACCGCCGACGTCACGGCCGCCCGCCGCTGACGTCACAACCTCGTCGGTGGCGACGCGGTCACGAGTTGCGTGACGTCGGTGGCCGGCGGCGACCGGCGGGGTCACCGGGGACGGATTGGAGCCGTGAGCGGCCCGCGAGACCCCCGGAACGGCTGCCTGAGAGGTGCTGACGGCGACTACACGAGGGAGTTTGATAAGGTTATCTGATATAGAAGCGATCAGGGTCTCAAGAAATGTCCGTCATCGTTGGTATTTCTGAGGACCATGCAACAAATAGCTAGTGGTATTTCATAATATCGTTCAGGAAACATCGACGAACCTCAGCATTTTTATGTCCGAAAACCGGGTGTCTGTCGGATGCCTTTGGTCGCCGCGGCACTCAGGCGGCTCACCCACGCCTCCGTCGGTGCTGGCCACAGGTATGGCTGCGGTGAGCCGTCCGTGTGCCGTCTGCCGCTGCCACCCACTGCCCACCGGCGGGCGGACGGACAGCGGGCGGCGGGCGGCGGGCGGCGGGCGGGCGCACTTGGAGGTCATCCTCACGGCGCAGCGCTCTCCCACGACGGCGCGCGGCCGTTTCCGCAACTGGCGGCGCCCGGCGCGCGGCGCGCTGTCCAATTTCCGGCCGGGCGTTCCGCGGAGCTCGTCAGCGACTAATTGCCGTCTGGGAGGCCGTGCTGGACACCGGCCGGCGGGCCGCGGCTCCGCGTCTCCCTGTCGGATCCTCTCCACCCCGCGGAGCCACGGGTGAGACGAGATAGACACCCGATTAGAGCAGACCACCGCTCCTATTGCGTCAGGCTATCGGTGGGCACTTATGTAACAAATGGGTGGCCAAGTGCGTTTGCGGCTTCTTTACGACGTGTGAGTGGCTCGGTCACCGTGTCCTTTTCCTTGAGCGGCTTCGGTCGACGTCCTGAAACTGCTCAGCTGGCTGCAATCCGTTTGACCGCGCCAGGTGCTCATTGTCATGCGCGAATGTTCTGTTTGATATGTTGATGCTTGTTTTGAGATGCACAGGACTTGTTCAGGGTGACGGGGCAGTTTTCCACGGAAGCTTCCGTCGCTCCGCCGTGGTCCCGGGGTTTTCCAAGGTTTTGTCGATAGTCGAACTTGTTGATTAGTACAGATGTAGTGCGTGGGTATGTCGAGTACCTATCCCGCCAAGCTCCGATGTGTCGTGGTGGTTTCCGATAATTATGCTGACGTGTTATGACAATTATCGATATGGGGATGACCGTGGTAACGTTTCACCCATCTTCTGTGATCCTGTAAATCTGTTACTTTTTCATCTCCTGCTAAGCGATGTGGTACAGACACTGACGGCTCTCTCTCCCCTGTTTCAGTGTCGGACAGTTTGTACGGCAGCGGCGCGGCGGCGGCGGCGGCGGCGGCGGCGGCCCGGTCCCCGTACCCAGTCTCGGGCTCCAGCAGTGTGCCGCCGTCGCCAGTGGCGCTCTACGCCTCCAGTCTGGGTCTCCCCGCCCCACTGTTCGGCGACGGGCCGCTGTCGCTGCCGTCACCTCTGCTCGGCAGCCCGCCGGCCACCAGCCCAGAGGCCATGTACCGGGCGGCCGGCGCGTTCGACTTTGACGTCAACCGTCGGAGAGGGCGGCGACCGCGCCCCGACGGCTCCTCCGCGCCCAAACGGAAGAGCAGGGACGGTGAGTAGCGCCGGCTGGCGAAGGAGGGAGAGAAGGGATAGTCGGATACTTTGACTCTTCTTAAAGCATACTGCACGAAGCCTTGTCCGTCTTGTTCACTGTTCAACTCGTCCCTTTTCACGCCGCAGACCCGCCCCAGTCGGTATCTAACTCTTCCCCGTTCGTTACGGCAGGCTCGTCGCTGTACCTGTGGGAGTTCCTGCTGAACCTCCTGCAGGACGCCCGCTACACACCCTCCATCATCAAGTGGGTCAACTTCCGCGAGCACGTGTTCAAGCTGACCGACTCGAAGGCCGTGGCGGGCCTCTGGGGCCGGCACAAGAACAAGCCCGACATGAACTACGAGACCATGGGACGCGCAATGAGGTGAGGGAGAGCGGCAATGCTGAGTCTTTGTCTTTGTCTCTAGCAATATGCTAGTGCAGCAGGTCATTAGTGTAAGGAACCGCGGTAATTGTTGTTGGTTTACAGTGACCAATCAAGCTTTCCTTTTCATGTAACCTTATCCTGGCCTCCGGCGAGGTATCTCATTCTCGGCCTTATTGACAAGGTTTGTGCGCATATTTTCCATTTCAGCATAACATTACTCCTTAATGATCTGAGAGAAAGTACCGGTAACGAATCGCTCAAACATTGTTGCGTGTCCTTCTCGTATGATGTAGCTATTGCGCGCTTGTTGCGTCATTAGATCCAATTACGTCACTAACATCGCCATCGTGTCCCTATGACGTCACTGACTGTTTGTTTCTGTCTGTCTGGCAGGTACTACTACCAGCGTGGCATCCTCAACAAGGTGGACGGCCAGCGACTCGTCTACCAGTTCAAAAACGTGCCCCGGGACCTAAACGATATCGTCGAAATCGACTGTTCTGGCACATAGGTGGCACGGCGTTCGACTGCCCACTGTACAAACTGTACAAAAGTGTGATATACTGCCTCTCTGAGTGCGTGCGGCGTGCGTGTGGAGACCCCCAGTGGGAGGCCCCTCCGGCGTGAGGAGCTCCAGTCAATGAGAGGGGCGGCGTGCGCCGACGCACCGGTGCGCCTGATGAACTGTGTGGTGAAGCGTATGATAAAGTGTATGCTCTATTGTGTCGCGCAGTGTTTGAATTGTGCGTCTTGAGAGTCGGTGTGAATGCGTCACCGAGACTTGCGTCAGCAGCGAATGCCTTACATCAAATCGCCCGACACTGTGGTGGGCCCTAACAAGCTATTTTTTACACTTAGACTGTGCGTGAAAAGTGAAAAGCGTGATCTCACTTTTTCAAGCCTACTTAATGTTCGTTGGTGCGTGGGGCATATATCGGTGCGCTCGCGTTCTCGTATATAAACCTAAACATATAATTATATCTGTGTTTGGCGGCCGCTGGCGCCCCCGTGTGTGTACAGATTATTTACCATTGTTCGTCGCGCCATCCCGAGTTTCCAGTACCTGACGTGGAGAGACCGGCGGCCACCTCCGAGACGCCCCAGGCTTCCAGCGCACGATCCCCGCGCGGCCCGCCCAGCCCAGCGCCCCGCCCCGCCCCGCCCGGCCCGGCCTGCTGTGTCATCGGTGTTCAGTCACTTTTCGCTGTTACTTCCTGGCGCGCCGCGTCCGTATGTGTTGACCGTTTCTTTGTCAGACGATCTGTGGCAGCAGGAATCTCGTGTGACAATCGGCCGCGCGCGCCGCGCTGGCCCGCTGTTCGTAGCCGTACCGCCGTGCCGCGCGCACCCCTCCCGGGCCTCGAGCGGCCGAGTCCGCCGGTCGGTCGGCCCTGACGGCTCGGCCGACGGCGGCGGCGCTCCGTCGGCCCGATCACTGGTTATGTGTCGCCCTCTGTTTCGTCCTTCGTCAATTCACAATCACATATCTCTTTGCGGAGGCCTCGGTTCAAACCGGGGCGATCTGGCCGGAACGCGCGCGCTAGCAGGCTGTACAACGCGTGTCATGTCGATGGAAGAAGAAAGAATACAGATAAAACTGAACCAGCCTCGCCTGTTTTGTGACGTCGCCATGATGGTGTAGCTGAGGTGTCACTCGCACGTGTAAATAGCTGAAGATATAATCTCCGAGAATGACTGGTACAAAGGCTACCGATAACATCGAAGCATACAGGCGTGAAATCCCACGGATGTACAACGGGACATAGACTTAGTCACGCAGCATCCACCATCCACACACGAATGATCTGGTCGACATAATCATAGGTATCCTCAGAGCCATGAGAAGCATTGACAAGCGATTTGTGTGCGAAAAGGAGGAAACAATTTACAATGGCTAGAAAAGCGTTTGACTCCGGGTAACTGACCTCGCGTCGATCAAAGAAAAAGCCAACAAGAAACCACTAAGAGCTCTGACGTTACGTGTTTCTTGCTAGCTCTACAACAGGCTGGCATCTGGCTAAGGCAAAAACCAAATAGAACAGAAACCAATCAAGTTCAATGCTGATTCCAGCCACCACTGACACTCATGAGTCTGCTTCTAAAAGAGAGCCACCACAAGCATCTCGCAGCTCAACTGAAACTGCCGTTGATTGCCGAGGTGACAGAGCAGACTCAGAGATCTGCACTTCCACGATATTCTAGATGGCGGCAGCCGTACGATATCACCTTGTAGAGGACGCTGCCTTCGACGGACCAAAGCCAGAGTCGGCGGCGGATCGGCGCGCCGCGGCCTTGGCGATGGCTTTGGACGCAGAGGCGGCCGCGCCGCCGGCGGGCGCTGATACGACGCGTCGGTGCAGAGACGGAAGGGCGCGGCGGCCGACGGCTGGTGATGAACTCCCTGGCGACGTGACGTCGGAAGCGGTAAAGTACCGATCAGTGCGCGCTGCCGACTGGACGAGTCAGTTCCAGTGTACGGCGGAACGGTGTGGTAACCCGTAACAGGGCTCCGTGAGTCACAGTGTTATTTTCCGCGGCGCGTTTGTGAGTTGCCAACCCGGCCGGTCCGTCAGTGCGTGGGTAGGTGAGACGCTCTCCCAGCCGCCGACACACGGTCAGAATGGAGACCGTGGCGCGGCAGCAGACCGCAGCCGCCGGCCGCCTGTACCGGGTGCTGGCCGAAGACGACGGCGACAACGTGTTCGTCTCCCCGTTCAGCATCTTCACAGCGCTGACTATGGTGGCGGCAGGTGCTGACGGAGCCACGGCCTCTCAGCTGAGCGCAGCCCTGGCGCTGCCGCAGGACGCGGACTCGCTGCACGAGGGGTACAACAAGGTCCTGGAGATGCTGCAGAGCCCGCCGAACGTCACGCTCTCCACGGCCAACAAGGTGTACGTGCAGCAGTCCTACAAGGTGCTGGACAGTTACACTGGCCTGCTGCAGAAGCAGTACCTGAGCAAGCTGACGAGCGTGGATTTCGCCGATAACATTGGGGCAAGCAAACTTATCAACGGTGAAGTGGAGACCGAAACAAGGGGGAAAATCAAGGATCTGATCAAAGCCAGTGATCTGGATGAGTATGTTCGCCTGGTGCTGGTGAACGCCATCTATTTCAAGGGCTCCTGGAAGCAGAAGTTTGACGCGAGCGAAACACAGGAGCGGGACTTCTTCGTGACGCCAGGAAACCCAGTCAAAACACCGATGATGCATATGAAGGGAAGCAAGTTCAACTGCGGCCACATCCCCGAGCTGAGCTGCAAGGCACTGGAGATGCCGTACGAAGGCGATAGGTTCAGCATGATCGTGCTGCTGCCCGACCAGCAGGACGGCCTGAAGGAACTGGAGGAAAAACTGCCTTCAACGTGCGTCAGAGACATCCGCGGCACTCTCTGCAACCAGAAAGCAGTCATACGGGTACCGAAATTCAAACTGGAAACTTCCTACGACCTGATCAAACCGCTACAGAAACTTGGCATTAAGGACCTCGTCGACAGGAACGCCGACCTGTCCAAGATCTCGGGCAACAAGGAGCTGTACGTGTCGAAGGTCATTCACAAGGCGTTTATTGAGGTGAACGAGGAGGGTGCAGAAGCGGCCGCCGCCACCGCCGTCGCCGTCCGGATGAAGCGCTGTATGCCGATGATGGACGCCGGGCCGTTCGAGTTCACTGCCGACCACCCCTTCCACTTTGTCATCTTCGACAGGGAGACGGGTCTCACGCTCTTCTCAGGCCGCTACGCCAAACCTGTCTAGACCGACGGAAGCGGACGGGTCGGCCGTAGAGCTCGGCTCCATATCGTCCGCACACAAGAGCATTTCCGCGAGAACGCACAGCGTGGCAGGGCTGGAGGCCATCGGTACCAACACATATACACGTAATTGTTGGTGTGTGCCATGTTGATTCATATAAAAGTGTTAACGTATCTGATTCAGTCAGGACATATTTATTATGCCTAGATAAGCAGACTACACCCAGTATCACAATAGAACTGGTGTTTATTTCTTATTTTGGCATTCAACATGGTAAATTGCACGTATTTCATCAGCGTTAACGTCTCAGGTAAAATAAAGGGATAAGACTCCGCAAGAATAGGAATGTTCAACGCAGTGCTTATGGAGGAACCGGTGATAAAAATATAGACGCGAGATAAAAGTCCCCAGGAAAGATAATGTGAAGCCAATTCGTGGGAAAACAGTGTGAGGGATAACCTTGGAGTGAACTAACTCGCTTCAGTTGCACCAGCCTGTGAGAAACTGCGCTGTTGAGCGGCACCTGCTCTGGTCTGCGAGTCAGAAATTTTCGCGGTTTTGAATAATGTGCATGATGTCAGAGTAGGTACGTGAATGACCAGGGAACCTTGTATGCATGCGGAAGCCGAAAAAACTACTGCAGCTTCTGCGTAAACGATAAGTAGAATAAGTTTACGATCATGTCGAGGGCCGAAATCTGGCGAGAAGTTCAGAAGTCTAGCTATACCTCCAGAAGCAAGATCAAGAAAAGCAGATGCGATGTATTATCACAGCTAAGCGATGGATAACAATGAAGCTACTCCTTAAACCTAACAAAAACAACACTTCTCCAAAAGCACCAAAAAACGGCCTCTTGACTGCCATGATTCTCTGCAGCTACGCTGCTCACACCTAACCGCGTAGTCTCACTGAGTATGTGGTTATCACCTGACTGGCTTTACCCTCCCTACCACACCCGTGTCTGGAGGGTATCACAGCGCCTCGAGCCGCGCTGACAGCTCGGAGAACATCCTCTCCTCCTCCTGGGTCTTCCCCGAGACGTACAGCAACTCCAGCCGACGGATACACTCTGAGAGACTGGCCTCCGTCCGAGCAGCATCAGCCTTGCCTGAGATCACCGTCTTGGCACCCGTATCACTATTGATAGCACTGCTACCTCTGGGATCGTCTCCCGTGTTGTCACTTCTCATACTACCTTGAGTGGAGACCGAAGCAGGCCGGTCAGTGTTGGCGCTAGTGCCATCTGTCGGCGATATATCGCACTGCGACTGCTCACCGGCGGCGGAGGATGGCGCCACTTTCACACCGTTTGATGAGCTCGGGGTGGCGGAGGATTCCGAGCCGGCGAGGTGAGCCTTTTGGTGCAGTACTGAGAGCAGGGACGGCAGAATGTACTTTCTGCCCGTCTCCCACAGACACCCTGAAACACAGACGACAAACCGTGAACACCAACCCCCATATCACACTGACACAGCAGCTTCCACAAGAACTCAAACGTCACAATTTCCAGTGAAAACACTGGGCAGTGGGCAGTTTTTCAAGACCTTTAGTTTCCCCAGTGAACTAGCGTCTGGACTCGGGAGGAGGGTGGCTCTGTGAACTGACCTATGAAGGAGGACTATCGTGTGAACTCACCCGTGGGGGAGGGCACCAGCAGTGCGCAGAGCAGGGGCAGCTGGGACGGCACGCTCTGCTGACAGAGCGCCAGCAGTTTGACCAGCCGCGCCGCCCAGACGGCCGGCTCCGACTCCAGGGCGGCCAGAGACAGCTCCGAACAGACCGCCAGCCACAGCTGAAACACACAGACACCGATATAGGTCATCAGTTTCACAGCTTCGTCAGAGCATACTTTGGTCATGTGTCTACGGTTTGTATGTCAGGCGATCAGTGACCCTAGTCTACCCGACACCGTCGCGAGCTGCCTGGTCATATCGCGGACTCACCTGTTTGGGCGAGGTTGGCATGGTCCGGTAGGACACCTCCTGCAGACTCTGCTGGAGGTCTTCCTCCTGCTCCAACCCCGCCGTCCGCCAGGCGTGGCGGAGCTGAGCCAACAGCCACTCGGTGCCGTCCTCCTGCGAGCTGACGGCAGTCGCATCACGACTCTCCTCTCCGACTGCTGTACCGTCGCACTTCATGACTGTCTGCTGTACGTCGGAACTTTTCTCTTCCCTGGTTTCACTCTCTTGTTTTCCACTCTCTGCTGAGGACCCCTCTCGCTCCTTCCCTCTCTCCTCCGCACTCTTCCCTGATCCATCACTCTTCCCGTCCACCGCGTGCCGCGTTGTCTGCTCCGTGGAGCCGGTACCGTCCTTCCCACTCAGCAGTCGGGCCGCCCACTCGTACAGACGCTGTTTGGTGGGCTCCAGCTCGGCGGTAACTGTCCGGTGGGCGACGCACAGGTGCGCCCCGGCCTGCGGTACAGACGGGGCGACGTCAGGGGCAGGGATAGTAATGGCTCCACAGTTAATATTTACAACAGACAGGGAAGAATTGAGAAAATATGACAGCGTAATAGCATAGCAGCGTGTAAATGATACGCTTATTAGTATACACGTGAAAATGATTGATAGTAACCATGCATGGAGATGCTCTTCAATAATGAAAAGAAATACTTGGCTAGTGTTAAAGAAATGAAAAAGTAAGCAACTAGCTTTGGCATATCATTGTCAATGCTCGACATCCCTCTCCTGTCTTCATCCTGATCTACTTCTCGCCATTTCTTTATTCCCCACTCACCACCACCACGGGCACCTCCCTGGCCACGGCCAGGCCGACGTCCCACTCGGCGCGCAGACAGCTGGCGTGTACACAGAGCAGCGCCAGGGCGCGCGTCTGGGTGCGGTCGCCGGCGCGCGCCCACAGCCGGGCGGCCAGTCGCAGTGAGCCGGGGTCGGAGCGACGGGAGAGGACGCCAGCCGCCGCCGCCCAGTCGCCCAGGGACAGGTAACTGGTGCCGAGACAGACGGAGATGGAATGGAGGGTCAGACGAAACACGGACGGTTATGGAGTTGTCAATGAAAAACAACGGATGAGATCGAAACGAAAGTGCATGACAGTCTTCAAAACATGCGAAAAAAAATCGTTAAAAATGGTGCCGCGTCGCAGCATTGTAACAGTGCCGATATTCACAAACTATCCAACAGCTGAACTTCCGCTTTTCCTGGCAGATCCCGTAGACTGACCATTTGGCCGCCTGTTCCATGTTGCCTTCGGTGGTGAGCTGGTCGGCCCAGAGTCGCAGGATCCGACCATGGCTGGGGTCGTCGGGAGCCAGTCTCAGCCGGGAGACACACAGCGCCTCGCGGTACAGGCTGTGTCGGAGCAGCAGCGCCACAGCTTCAGACACCTGATAGTGGAGGAAGGGACCGGTTATACAGTGAGCAGCAGCGTCACGGCCTGAGACACCTGATAGTGGAGGGACTCACGGAGGGCTGGTTATACAGTGAGCAGCAGCGCCACAGCCTGAGACACCTGATAATGGAGGGACTCACGGAGGGCTGGTTATACAGTGAGCAGCAGCGCCACAGCCTCAGACGCCTGATCGTGGATGGAGGGCCGTTTTTTCAGTGAGCGGGGTAGGCGGGAAAGAGCGTAGATAAATATACATTCCAATGGTAAAGATATACCACGCCTCATCGCTATAAATTAATGCTGCCGTTCCGTCATTTAGAATCTCGATCACGTTGCGTTATTCGGTAACTCATCAGATAATTCCATTATTCTATAGCCCATTCTAATTTTACGACCGTCTCCAACCGAACAACAGTGATACTCCAGCGATAAAAAAGTACATACAAAACAAAACTACACTGTGGCGGCCCTAGCCGGCCAGCGTGGATGGTTACCCCGCGTGTGACCCACCGCCGTCGTCTGTCGCCTCACCTTGTGACAGGCCAGGAGCACGGAGGAGGCCTTCAGGCACTCCTTCGAGTTCTCCAGCTGCTCGGCGTACTTGAGACTCATCTCCTCCCAGAGCCTGGTGGAGAGGCGGGGGCGTGTTACAAACCGTTCAGCAGGATTTGTAGGCTGATCGGGATCAACATCTAGCGATGGGACTGACTACAGCAACTAATAATCGTCTAGAGGCAGTCAGTCTGTCCGGGATACGATCAAATCGGTGGTGCAACCGGTTAACATCACCCAAGTTGCACAAATGATTTCATCCACCAAGGTGTTCAACTTCGTTCGTAAGACTCTAACCAGAAATCGAAATGATCTTGGTCATTCGTAAACCCTTGACAAGCTTATGGGAAACCCTTTTTTTCACAGTTTTTTTCACGTTTATTGACAAATCGTACAAATATGACACAAGTACATCTATAATAATCGAAGGCTCTCCAGCCCAACAAGGACAATCTCTGTCATGGTTTCTGACGCCGGTTTTCCGTCCATGCTAAACGAGCGCCCCAGATTGAGGCGTTTAAACTCGCAAACGCCTGATATGCACCGACACAATAGGGCTTTCAAAACCCCCACAACGTGCGAGTAATATTTGGCAAGCGTACACGCTGGCATATACATACAGTGTTGGCAATATACACAAAAACGGAAGCCACATTTCAGCTGCATTTTGACTGGGCGGCGGCCGAGCTATAAAAATACCTATAGCTCGCCGCCGCCACCACGCGACGTGGTTTGGCCCGCCTGGCCAAGCCGGGGCGTTGTCCCATCATGGACTAAAGAAAACGCCCCGGCCCCGGGGAGATCTGGGGGATACCTCCCCAGCCGGGGAGAGCTGTGGGTTACCTCCCCGGCGCTCCAGGCGGGCCATCAGCCACCGCCCGCGCCGCCCGGCGAAGGGGTATCGCGGGCGGCGCCCCCTATCCACCGGCCGGGCATGCGAGCCGTCGACTTGTAGGGCCGGCGCCCCGCACGCCCGGCCGACCGACCGGCCCCAGTCAAAGAGGCCGGTCCCGGGTTGGCCCGGATGGGTCATGGGAGCGGTGGCTGATTTTTTGCAGTTTTTTCCATACATTTCTTATACAATCACCGTGAACCACACACACACACTATCATATATTTGCGGTATGCTCTGTGGGCCGAGGCGAGCCAAGGAGCCAGTTGGTTTCGCCCCTTCTCTGACCTATTCTTGTCGACCACTTAGCATTAAAAGAGTTCATTTTATTGTTCACCTTTGCCCAATACATCTCACTTGTCTGATCTATCGTAAGTATGGTTATAAGTGTGTCTACCGAAAGTCTCCTCCCAGAGTAAATCATGTACACGCCTACACTAACAATATGGTTTATAATCGCATTTTCTGTGCCGCCTAGAATTACCTCCTTCACCCTGGTTATCCTTTCTGGTGTGTTTATCTGAATTCTGGTCAACCACGCTTCAACATTGTCCCAGAAAGCCTTAATCCTCGAACAATACCAGAATTTATGTTCTATATTTTCACGCTCCGTACAATAACTGCATGAATCGGTTCCCATTAATCCAATTTTGTTGAGAAAGCTGTTTGTTCCTACTGTTCTTGTAATGATTTTATACCTAACTGCTCTATACTGCTGTGGAGTGCCCCTGAGACTTCTGTATATTTGCTGCCAGTCGATTTGACCCAGCCTTCTCTCCCAGGACATTTCCCATATGTTTCTGACATCTCTCACTCTTTCCTGTCTGAAGATATTTTTTAAATGTGATGTACCCGTGTTTCTAGAAATAATCAAGCTTATTAATGGATCTATACTTGGTCCAAATAACTTCACCTTTTCTCCCGATTCCTTCCATTCTCTAGGTAAGCTACTTATTAGAGTTGCATAATCCAGAAAAGTGGTTGTAATGTTGTAGGTCCGTTTTAATTCCTCAAAACCTAGTAAAAATCCATCTGTTTTTAATAAGTCATTCAACGATCTGATGCCTTTGACATACCATTCTTCAATCCATGAAGTTTTGAACTTAGTAGCATCAGAAAAAAAGATAGCTGTGGAGTTTAGCTCCTCGACACCTAGCTTCTGTGAGCATATTTCCCTGAGATTTGCTAATGCTATCATCACGTCTCTCCAGAATAGATTCTTAGTGCGAGATGCCTTTCTTTTCAAAGCTGTTTGACCCATTTGCCAGAAATATATATTTTTACCCGTACTTTTCTGTGCAACTGCGTTCCATATTCCTTGCTTTACAATGCACCTCCTAATCCAAGATAGCTTCAAGGCTCTCATATAACTTGTTAAATCAACCATGTCCACTCCTCCATTGAGATGGTTTTTCATCAAAGACTCCCGTTTGATTTTTTCTCCTTTTCCATGCCACAGAAAGCTGAAAAGAGTCTTGTTAAGATCTTTGATAATTTTTTTTTGATGGGTCAGGGAGCGTTGTGAGCAGGTGACTAATCTTGGAGATCAGCATCGATTTTATTATTACCACTTTTCCTTCCAGTGATACGTTTCTGAACTTCCATTTCGTTATTTCTCTTTTGATTTCCTTTACCTTCTCTGTGTACAGTTCTGTTACTTTTTGCAGTTCATTATCGAAAGTGACCCCTAGGACTTTAATCGTTTCACTCCACTTTACAGCTAAATTTCTCTGAAGAAAACGATTTTCTCTGCATGCCTTCCCTATCCACATAGCTTGAGTCTTATCGAGGTTTGGACTTAGTCCCGAATACTTCGCGAACCATCCTATCTCTTGGAAGAGTTCCATCATGCTTGTTTTCTCTGGTTCGAGTAAACAAATCGTATCGTCTGCATACATGAGCACTTTGTGTTCCTCATTGTCTATTTTAATTCCTTTGATAGCTGCATTTCCTCGAATCTTTTTCGCTAAAACGTCCATCACAAGAATAAACAAGTAACAACTTAGCGCATCCCCCTGTCTACAAGACCTTGTTAGCATTATTTTACTCGACAAATGACCATTATACAAAATTCTGGAAAAAGCTCCAGCATACAGTGTGTTGAACCAATGTGTAATACTATGCGGAAAGTTTTTCTGCTCCAGGACTTTTTTAATGAAAGTCCAACTGACTGAATCAAAAGCTGCTTCTATATCCAGACTTACTAAGACCCCGTTCTTTTGTTCTTGATTCAAGAGTTGGATAACGTCGTAAATCATCCTGATATTGTCCCCAATAAATCTCCCTTTTAAATAGGCAGACTGGCAATCCTCGATTATGTCTCCTAGCACGAGTTTTAATCGATTTGCAATAGCACCTGAAATGATTTTGTAGCTAGTATTTAGGAGTGTTATTGGTCTATATGACTTGATCAAATCTCTGGGTCTATTTGGCTTAGGTAACAACACGATTATTCCTTCTTTTAAAGTTAGAGGAACTGTACCCTTTGTGGCACTCTCAACTACCATAGCATGAAAAAAGTGTTTTATGTCTGCCCAGAAGAATTTATAAAACTCTACGGAAAAACCGTCACTACCTGGAGACGTTCCATTTTTCATTCTCTGTAGCGTTGATCCTAATTCTTGCATGTTCAACGGCTTATCTAGATTGAGCTTGTCATGGTCATTTACTTTTTTAATATCCATGTTTGATAGATATTCATCGTAATTAACTCCCTCTAAAAACTCATCCTCACTTTTGAACCTTTTTTGATAAAATCTACGGAATAGTGCGTGTATGGTGCTACTATGACTGATATTATGGGAAACCCTTGACGTTTCCCATTCTCACACAACAGCCGTGCCCGTTCTCGATACCAAGCCTGCTCACCTGTAAGCCACCATAGGCGCCATCTATTCTCACCTGTAAGAGACCATGGGCGCCAGCGCGAGCAGCTCGTCAGTGAGCAGTGCCTCGGCAGCGGCGGCTCTCACCACGGCGGCCGTGTCTCCGCGCCACAGTGACATGTGCAGCAGCTGCGCGGAGCTCTTCTGCGCCTCGTGGTGACGCACTGGGGAACACACAACAGGACGTGTGGTGAGATTCGGTGAGAAAACTGGGAGTAGTGGGGACGCGAATTTGTACGCATGTTTAACGGCATGTTTAACGGTTTATAGCATGCATCATAGAAGCAGCTGAGCAGACACGTCTAGGAGTGGTTTAGACGTGAGTCCGTGACCTCCGTAATGAAAGTGACATCACCGCGTGGCGACTCAATAATGAAAAGGCTGGTTAATTTAGCCATGGCTAAGCTTACACTGAAAGCAGTGACCTCCGTGTCTACTCACTTTCTTTGACGACCATATCTCTCAGCGCCGTGTCGTCCCCGAACAGGCCGACGTGACTCCAGCCGTCTCCGCCAGGGGCGCTGCCGTCGCCGGCCGCCATCAGGTGTTCCAGGTCGGCCTGGCTGTGCGCCTTGCCGCGGTTTTCGGCGGCCCCGGAGAGCGGGAACAGCGAGCGCTGGGTGCGCGCCCTGCGGCCGTCCCCCAGCTCTGCCGAGGGACATACGGTGTGACGGTATGGTGTCTGTGGTGTGGGCGATCGCAGGACGAGACATACTCGTACAGCAGACAGCTGTACGATAATAGTGTGCTGTTCCACAAGAAAGATCAATAAAGCGTATCAGCGCAACAACATAGACACAAAACGGCTACAGTATACATACATATTGTGCCTTTTGGCCTAATGATAAAGACAACCGATAACCACAGCAGTCTCTTCAAAAATACAAGCAATGATCAATCCTTATTTTATCACCTTTGAGTACAGTTCCAGAAGCCATGTCACCCTATGCCAATCGCGCTCTGCTCCCCACACCAGTCCCTCTCCTTCAACTACCCCTTTACCAACCCACCTCTGGGCTGCGCTGGGGCGGCCGCAGCGGCGGCGGCCGGCGGAGTCCGGTCCCTGGACGCGCTGTCTGTCCCGTTGACAGCCACCGCTGGAGCTCCGTCTCCCGAGGCACCCGCGCGGGTCCGTCCCTTCTCCTTCCCGGTGGGGGCTGGCAATGGCGCGGCGGTCGGCTCTGCTGTTGTTGGCGAAGAGAAAGGGCGTCAGGTGAGAGATGGTGCTGGATGAAGGTCGTAGGATCCCAAATAAGCGTACATTCTTGGGATCAGTAGCTTTACATATACACAAAAACAACAATGAAAAACAATGGTAGTTGAGTAGTAAAACGGCAAAGGCAGCCCAGATGTATAGAAAATATGGTAATTGCGGCGGCTAAGAAAACGAGAGATGGTGATGGACACTGTTAATCAGAACAGAGAAAAGAATAAGAAAATAGCTTAAGCGTTTAATCTACTGCCCCATGGCAACTCCTACCTGTCTCCGGTACGTTGGTATCCTGCTCATCCACCCGCCACAGGTGCAGTGAGCAGTCGTCGCCCCCGCTGAACACGTGTCCGGCCAGCAGCGGGTGGGGGAGACAGCAGCGGACCGGCCGGTGGTGACCCGAGTACACCGCCACGGCTGAGCCGGCCACCGTGTCCCAGACCTGCAGAGGGACGCGGAGGGACTGACCGTTAGTTCTGGGGTACGATGTGAGCAATGTGCATAGAACGGCTTTGTGGTGGTATGATGACAACTGTTTGAGAGGCTTATGATTGGTAGAGCGAAAATGAGCTGACAACCTACGTCCGCAAGAGATTATGTAGCTCTAAAATTGATGCCTTTTAAAAATGCATGGCAAACTTCAATCACTTGTGAATGTAAGACAGTATTATATACTTCACAGGATCAAACCGTATCAACAACAAAACGAAATTAAAAAGACCGAATATGTCCCCGACAGACGGTACATACACCGAGTTCCCCTCCCCGTGTCGGCGGACCGGTGACTGACCCTCACTGTGGCGTCCTGTGACGCCGAGACCAGTCGTGTGGGGCTGTCCTGCAGCCAGGCAAGGTCCAGCACACGAGACTTGTGTCCGGTGAGGGTGATGCGCGCCTGCAGCAGCTCCGGACAGCCGGACCCATCTGACGGGGAGAAGCAGAAATAGGGTGACACCGACCGGTTACACGACGGGTCAGCATTGAGACGCAGAGCAAGAACCAACGAACAGGCTGGAGCAAAAATGGCGCGAATAAGAAGCGAAGAAATCCCGAAAGCAGACCATATCAACCGATCAATGAGAAAAAACAAAACAGTGAATCACATAAATGTGAATGCATGAATCGCTTACCCATCACTCTCATAAACCTCAAGCGACGTGTTCCGTTGCTCAGCCCCGTCTCCTCCCGTGTTCCCCGCTCGCCCGGCTGTCGGCTACTCACCCAGGTCAGGTACATCAAACACGCTGACGAAGGAGTCGTACGAGGCGACCGCCAGCGGTCGGGATTCGCCGGCCCCCGCCGGGCCCCAGCGGAGCGCGGTGACCAGTCGGCGGTGTCCGAGCGCGGCGCCGCGCACCAGGCCGTCCGTGGTGAGCAGCTCCACGGCGCCATCCTGGCGGCCCAGCGCGGCGCCGCCGCCGCCCCAGCTCAGCTGCGAGCAGGCGGCGCGTCCGGCCGCCGGCGGCCAGGGGACGGCCGAAAGCCGGGAGGCGTCGTGCCGCCACACGGCGCCCAGAGACAGCGAGAACAGCTGGCCGGCCGGCGACCAGCTCACCGAGTACACGGGGCCCGAGTGGTGCTCGGGACAGAGCTGCGGCGGCCGGCCGGCGCCCGGGTCACACACGCCCACCCGGCCCTCGTCTGTGCCGAACGCCAGTCGCGTGTCCTTGTGCGGGTGCCACGCCACCTGACCGACGGGGGGAGGGGGAGGGGGTCAGTGATCGGTCCATGGGAAGGAGGGAATGGGTGGCTCTACTGGATTTAACAGCGCAGGGACACCTGAGAAACATTTTTTTCCAAGGGAGGCACCAAACTGTTACATGACTGAAAATGCCCTCATAAAATTGCATAAAAATGGAAATGTTCAACTGTGGATTTCCTAGGAGTTCCATGCCAAAAACAAACCAACAGACAATAATTCGAATAAGCCGGAACCAATCATATAATGAGCAATTAGCAATGAGCAGCTCCTTCCTTATATCACGGGAATATTGGGAAGGAACGCGTCTGTGAACTCACCGTCAGCACCTTAGCCTTGATGCCCTGCCAGACAGTGACGGTGCTGTAGGCCGTGTCAGCACCCAGGTTCCACACGCGGATCGTGTGGTCGCCGCAGCCTATCGCCAGCCTGTAGTCGGGGCATGGTTGGTCACTATCCAGCTATATTCGGATTATAAACTGTGCGTCACGTAAATGTCTTCTGATATGTAGAGCAGAAGTAATGTTAACTTGTATCAGTTATCTAGGCTGGGCCGGCGCCATTCTCCCCCGACACAATCCACTAGAGAGATATCATATAAACTCTAGTGGATCGCTTCCCCCTTGGGTAGTGCAAACGGCCCTCAGCTTCTGGGGTCTACTGAGCAGAACGTGTCGAGTAGCATTTCAAGTGCCCCCCTCCGCCCTCCCCCCACCACACAAACCAAACAGGGCAGAGGTCACGCCCCCTCACCTGCCGGGGTCCACGGGACAGGTGTCCAGAGCTGCCGTCTGTCCCCCCAGACACGGCACGGTGCCGGTGAGCAGTGAGCGCGGGTCGTGCACCACCAGCTGGCGCTGAATGCCGCTGCTCACCACCAGCTCACCCAGCCCGACAATGTTGAACAGACTCCGTCCGTGACACCGGTGGACCACCTGGGTGATACGGTCAACAAATGTCACAATAGGGGTTACCGAGATGGTATGAAAGGCTAAAGATATAGGGCCAATGAAGGGTGACGTGAGCAAGAACAATGATATGGGGAAAATGAGCACAAACAGAATAATGCAACAATTTCTGACCTTGATGAGCACATACCAGCATAACAGTTTTCGGTTGCAGTTTTTAAGTGCCCGGCATAGCGAAAAACTAGTTCGTTCTCATCCTCTACACTAGCCCACCCTCTTACCACCTCTCCTCCCCCACCCCTCCCTCTCACCCTCCCCACCCCACTCTCTCTCCCCCTCCCACTCCCCGCTCACCTGACAGCCGTCACCGTTCCCCGCCAGCCGCCAGCGGAGCAGCTGGCCGGTCAGTCCGCTGCTGTACAGACAGTCGGACGCCGTCCACAGCACGGCCAGCCAGGCGCGCTCACCTCCGAGACCCGCGGACTGCCGCCGGCCACCACCCTCGGCCGGCGCTGGCACGCGCTGCGTGACGTGGCACCGGCCGCCGCGCGTCCCCCACACTCTGACCGGAGAGAGAGAGCAGAGGGAGTCACTGAGGTGAGGCGATCATTACAGGGTGTACTGTAGATCACCGCTACCTCAGATGTAGAGGTGATCACCCGTTCGTGAGCAGGAAACAAAGCGGTCAGATGCTTTCAACAGGAACAAACAGGGGGCATAATTGAATGAAATGGAGCAGATATTCGGCGACGAAGCCAGCCAACGATTCGACAATAGCCCGACAGCAAACCACGTCATGATGACTTGAGATGTCAAGGTGTATGCGCAAATTCTATGCTGTTAGAGTATCGATGGGCTTGCCAGAAATGAAAGTACCCACCACTACTAAGTGGTTAATCTGGTACGCTCACCACATGCTTTCTTGTCCAAGTTCACTTGTCCCCAGTTTACCTACAGCTTTGCGGTTTCTTTTATTTAGAATTCACTGTATTGTATCGTCCTGGTCGACCCAAACAACGAAAATGCTATTCTACTCACCGTATGGTTTTGTCTTTGGAGGCCGAGACGAGCAGATGATCCTGTTCGAACGACAGCAGTGTGGTCAGCTCGGGGCACCAGCTGATGGACGTGACGTCATCATCGTGACCGCGCAGCTTCTGCAGCACCCGGCCACTGGCTGTGGAGGGGGGAAGGGGAGAGGGTCACCGGCTGAGAGGTGGCTCGGGGGAGGTGCACTTTGGGGTTATCATGCACAAATCTGGCGGTATGGGCCATCTACAAGTGTAATGTCACCTAGTCTGGCTACTATCCAGAGATCGGCTGCACGCCTTCCCCTCCTTACAACCCGTGCTCCGCTCACCAGCGAGGGAGACTGTCCAGAGGAGACCGCGCTTCCCGGCCACGGCCACCACGTGCTCCGTGTGCGGCGAGCAGCGCAGCTCGGTGGGCGCCATCTTCTCCAGGAACAGAGTGCGCGTGGTGTGAGCCACCGTGTCCCAGACGACAAACGTGCCGCGCTCGTCCACCGAGATCGCCACGTGCGGCGAGCGCGCCGCGTGCGCCACAGCCGCCACCTTCAGCTTCTGCGGGCCCGGGCCACAGCGGGGTGGGTGCCGGTAAGGGATTTTGTAAAGGGAGAACGGTTACCGCCTAGCTGGTTAAATATCGTGAGCAGAGCACTTTAGGGTTTTACGATGTACATTACATTCTGAGAAAAAAAATCATGAATCCGGATAAACCAATGTCCATCGTCATTTTGACGAGACCTTATCAAATACGTTCAACAGGAGACTACATTTCTATTGAAACAGGGAGGTCATATTAGCCAGTTAACTAAAATACCGGTAAATGAGTGAGTGCCTATACATAACATATCCAATCTCTAACGCTGACGACGCTGTGTCGTCAAAAGCTCACCCCGTGCGCATTGTGCTGCTTCTCACAGTGGTACCGAAACCGGCCCTCCTCCTCAGCAACCTCGCACGTCCACAGTTTGACCAGGGCGTCCTCCCCGCAGGAGACGACCGAGACAGCGCCGGGCGCGTGGCGCCACACGACAGCGCCCACCACCCGCTCCCTGTGGGCGTCCTCTACGACGCCGTGGTGGTGGAGCGACGGCGCGCCGCCGGCGGCCGTGGTCACCGGGCCGGCCAGCAGCAGTGCCTGGCGCGCGCAGCCCACCAACAGCCGGTCTCCGTCCGACGCCAGCGCGCCGGCGCTGTACCAGTTGGCCGACGGCGTCAGACACACCGTCTTCATGGCAGCGACTGTCACTGATGGCTCCCAGCCTTAAAGTGCCCCTGCAGGGACTGAGAAACATATCAGATTTGGTAGCGAGCTTCACTTGTGTCTGAATTTCAGCCCAGTTACCAGATTGAACAGAGTATTTATCTATCCTGCCACATCAGGACCCCATGAGTGGCGACACTTTTACCGTTCATCCTCACACCCTAACAAGCCATTTCATGTCACCATTTGACCCCAGCACCAGGAAGACCACTCTCAAGGCAATAGCTAATACCTTCATAAGCCTGGAACCACATTTCTGGACAAACCTACTCGTCCTCATAAGCCAGCGATAACATATTGAGGCAAGTGGATCATGCTGAATAGGTAGCTTGTATCACACATAGAGGCCATTTTGATTCAATTACCCTAGCTTGTCATTTGTCAAAGTTACCCCAGGTTTTCAGGTAGCCTCATTTTACACTTTACAGTATATACATCCTCCTGTTACCCAAAATGGAATTGTGCAAACAATCAGACAGAATAGAACAGTCCACTTCAGGACTTATAAAAGCTCAGCATATTATTGGCTTTCACTCTGTCAATACATCCATTCATATTGTGAGAGGCGAGCTACAGCCTCCCAGGCTTGAGAGCCTGCCTCAGCATATGGTATAATGGTGGCCGCCATCAGGCGTCATATGACCTGTGCCTCGGAGGACCCGATGAGTCTTTGCAGTGAGTGATGCGTGCGGAGATCACAATACAATTGAACTATTGCTATAGATTGAAAATGAAAGTTTTTTTTATAAATTTAGTCCGAACCTTTTGATAGGAAGGACAGAGCCGGACAGAGCCACCGCTAAGCGAAGCTTGTTGCGGTGACCCTGCCCTCTACCCTCAGATCGCGCAATTCCAGTTCTATGACAGAATTTAGTCCAAAGTTTAATGCGCGCACATAGCCGCGCACGGCCGGTCCCCTCACTGACTTCGCCTGGTGTCGGCCTGCCACCAACCACAATTGTCAAGCGCCCGTGGCGCTTTGAACCCGGACTGTTGTAACCGGGAACACATGCTCTCACGGCTCTCACCACGCGGAGTCCAACGCTCTACCAACTGAGCTATGGGATGGGCTATGGTTAAGGTCAAAAGTGTGTTGTTTCCCTGCTCTTTGAGCTTCAGGCTCCAAAAACTATAACAATTTACCACAATTTCAATATCTTGCAAAGCTCATTCATTTGCTTGACAAAATATCTAACACTAGTTAATTCACACAGACAGAAATAATATAAAATGCACACTTATTTGACTTATTTACTTCAACCGTGGTCCGTGAATCAGACTTCAACTTGACGGCATACAATTCGTATCAGTATCCATCAAAGGGCCTAAAACTGAAATATAAAATTACAAGCTTAAAATCGAAATGTAAATCGTTAGGGTCTACAACACAACATCAAACACGTGTGTAACATGTGTGCAGCTCACTCCGCGTTCGATGTCTCTCGGACAACGAAGATTCTACGTCGTCGGGCCAATCACGCTCAAGGTTAGTGGGGCTTGGCTACGGTTATGGAACGTGATTGGCCGAACGACATAGAATCTTCGCCGTCCGAGAGTCATCGAACGCGGGGCCAGTAAACTTTAGTTATATAAGTAAATATTGCTTTTAGCTGCCATAAAATCCTATGACGTTATGATACAAACAACAATGGGGCGTTCTAAAACTGCTGTTCTTAAGACTGTTACATCCACAGCCTTACCCGAAATATAATTAAAAATGGCATTTAGATGGATCAGGTGAATATGAGCATATACACTCTAAGAAAGAGTTATTTAAATATCATTAGCAAATGTGCTACATCAAAGATCAATGACGTCATCAAAAATCTGTCACTCGTAGACACAATAACTTTTATCGTCGGATACCTTATATTTTAAAAAAAGTCTTGAGTCAAGGCCCTATATGTCTATATGTCCTATACCTAAATGTATATATTGATATGCAAGATTCTTACTGATAGTATGTATGCTTTATAATTTATATGTCCTATGTATATGGCCCTATATGTCTAGAGTGCTACTTCTATGCAAGGCCCTAAACTTTACTTCAACTTTATATTGATATGGCCCTGCTTCAACCGTGAATCGGACTTTCACTTGACGGCATAAATTAGTCTCATCAGACAATCAGTATCCATCAATATATACCGTGTATGTGCCGAGTGCCAGTGGGTCTATTCAGTCAATTACTGATGAGATTCTAAACTTGAGAGTGAAAATATACTTGCCTACATAGGTACTTGAGATTTGAGAATCTCAAATTTACCGCCTACTTATAGCTTTACAGGGTGTTTTCAATGATCATTGACTGTTTTCTTGCCAACCTCTCCAGAGCTTTACAGATCCACCTTGCTCTTGCCTGAACAGCAGCCATGCTGCTCCGGCTTCCGGGTCCAACTCATAAGAAAGCCACCCAAGTGGATCTGCGCCGGCCCAGCCTGACCACGCTACTTAACCGAGTGACCAGGGCTGACTGGCTCAAACTCACGGATTGTCAGCAGAGGATGCAGCATGCTCTGCAAAGATACATGGTAAGCGGCAAGCGCCACTGAGGCGCAGCGGGCAGTGCACTGCATTAGACTCACTGTTGCAAGGTCTCTGCTTATATCCTGACTCAGAGAAAGTCCCTGTGAATTGGTGCTACATCTATATAATCAATGATAGTCTGTTCTTTGATGTGGAGCTGTGAGATCAATTAAATAATAAAGAGGATGTTGGCATAAGAATGCCATTACCAATTGTGCTAGCTGAGCATTCTGTTTCCCCCTTTCTTCCACACACAGTTTCTGACAAGTGACAACAGTTATCCAGATAGTCATTTTCTGTTGTTTTTCACCCCTGTGACAATTTTACTGTTGATATCATTTTCTTTTTCAGCATTTAAAACACCAGCTAAGTGAGAGTGCATCCCATCCGGGGATGCAGCCATCAAATGTGTACATCGATGGAATGAATCGAGCGCTGGAGAGAATGGAAGCGATCCAGGCCGAGCAGGTGAGGTTTTCCATGGGGACGATGGTAAGCATATTTGTGTACTGCATTAGGTCTGTTTGGTGGTGAATGAGCTAGCGCAATACATTGCTTTGATTTATAGGGATTCATTGGGAAGCGGCGTGTGCATATTGATACGGCCACGGGAGTCGAGCTGGAATGAGCTTACATCCTTAACTAGTCATTACATACAAGTCAACAAGCATCGATAAACATTGTGCTTTTTATGTGACAAGCAACAATCATTGTAAAAAAAAACATTCGCGGCACACGACAACCGTTCAAATCCTCGGCACTAGATGTATCCAGAGGCTGTTTCACAACAAATATGCATGTTCGGTTTGCGAGTTCAGCTTAGTCATCGGGCGCGGGAAGCCGGTTCACGGATTGCCATAGTTTGCCCGCCTGGATGCAGTGGACAGATGCTGTTCTGTCCAGGTTCTGTCTCTCCTTGGTCGTGAAACTTGTTGATCTCGCTCGACACACGTGGAATATGTACATAGCACTCAATAAGACAGTAACGGGTGTATACTATTTTTTGCACAAACTTCAACACAATGATACTCATATATTTTAATTTCTCCTTCATCAAACTTTCCATGGTACTACATAAATTATTTTTCTGTCCGGCTGACATCAGTGCACGGTGCTGTTCACGCCAAGCCAGGCAGCACGGCGCACGCGCGCTGGGAGTGTCCCCATCATCTTGTGCAGCACTTCCTTGTCGAGTGATCGCATCACGCGATGAATGCGACGCGACGATATGTTCCGTTTATCCAGTAAGTCGATCGCGCTATCCATTCGCTGCCGACGGGCTGTGCAGTTCCAGTCTTGCTGTCATCCGCATGGGCTTCGCTCCGTCGGACGGCCCAGTCGGGGAGCCTCGAGCGATCCGTGGGCCGCCCGAGCCGGTCATCGTTCACCGACCAACAGCTGAGATCCGCAGCGTAAACCCTTCGGCAGATACCGAGGGCAGCACGCTGGTCTCCGCCGCACCGTCCGACGGCGTATATATTCCAATTACGGTCGATGGCACGTCCTGGACTCTGGTCCCTGCGCCATTGGCAGCTCCCGTCACCTGTTCGTACGACGGCGGCGGCTGTGACGACAGGGCCACTGTCGCCGCCAGAGCGTCTCTGTAGCGGGGCGGGGGTCCTCCGGGGCCGGACGGGGCGGTACCTTACCCTGGTTCGGAATGGCGGGGGCCGGTACCGACCGTTCGATAGAGTACCGCGGCGGCATCGGGGGAGGCGGCGGAATTGTCGGCTGGTGCAGCGGACGAACTGGCTGAATTGTCGTCGATGGGTGGGCACTCGTCTCCGCTGGCCGGTTTTTAAACTTCCTTACAGCTTTTATTCTTGTCCGCAAAAACACAAACGTTTTGTGGCAGGGCCCAACTTGGAGAAGATACACGCCACTACTACGACCAAAATAAACGCCCCACAAGCAAAGGCAATGCTGGATGCCACACTCCACATGTCTGGTTCATAGCTGGCTGTTGCTTGCGCCGCCAAGGGTCCGGCTGGGTGGTTGACAGTCGTGACACGAAATGGCCAGCTCATCGTCTGCCATGGAACTCTGCTCGATCGCTCCCTGATTGATGCGTCTGTCCTTGTTGAGATGTCAGCCAATGAGGCGATCAGTATCGCACAGCAATCAGCTCACCAGTGACTTGCACCGGTCGGCTCACGAGCGACACACACCAGTCGGATCACCATCCACGCACCAGTCCTCACACCGGTCGGCGGTCGGCTCACTGCGATGAGTGGGCCCCGCGTGGCCGGCCGACCGTCACCCACTGGCCGCCCGCCCCGGCTGTCCTCTCCGAGCCTCTGCGACACGCCCGCACAGTGCACTGGAGGCTGACATGTGAGTCAGAGGCAGGTTGCGCAAGCATGACCAAAAAATAAACCGATAGAGGCATACTGGGAGACTATGCAAATGCATGCACTTTCTCTCCAGTCTTAGGCGGGCCATGAGCCATGAGGAAAAATATGCGCTTGCTTGCCTTCCACCTTTGACTTGGAAATTCAACTTAAAAATGTTATATTATTCAATAAGTGTTGTCGAGTCATGAAATGATGGAATCAACCCTGAAACATACAATACCCCGTAGAAGGGAATCTCGTTTTATGCTGGAATAAATTATATTTCTGTATAAACTACACATCTCCTCGCTCGCTCGCTCGGTGGTGACCCGCTGCCGGCCGCCGGTGACCCCCAGTCGGAGATCCTGGACCCGGTGCGGGAACAGATGGCCGCCGAGGCGGCGCTGAAGCTGCCCTCTCCGCTGCACCCGGTGCCGCCGCGGCCGCCGTGCTCGCCGCCGCCGGAGCAGCCCCAGGTGCGACTGGTGATCGAGCCGCGCAACCAGCTCAAGGTATCGGTGGAGGTGCTGATGGAGACGGCGCCGGCGCTGCGGCCGGCCGCCCGACCGGCCTCGGCCCGGCTCCGACAGAGGCGAGTAGAGCGGGGAGGGACGGGGTGAGTCGAGCGGGGAGGGGCGGGGTGAGTCGAGCGGGGAGGAGCGGGGTGAGTCGAGCGGGGAGGGGCGAGGTGAGTCGAGCGGGGAGGGGCGGGGTGAGTCAGAGGCGGAGAATGCCGAATTGGGGTCAGAGTATAGGGTAAATCGGGAGGAGGGTGGGTTAGAACCAAGGGATATAAGGCGGATTGAGTCAGAGTCACGGGCGGGGAATCTGGGGCCGGGTGAATCACAGTCGGGACGGGTCAACTAGGGTCGGTGACACTGTCGCTAGTGAACTAGGGCGGCATGCAGATTAACTAGATGGGGGACAGCGGTGCCCGTTTATATATTCGGGTAACCACCTGACCGGCACTGTGTCGCCTTCCCTATCAGTTTGGCCGCAATGTAATGCATTCAATGTGATTCAGACATCTCCAGCCGCGTGCTTCACCGCTCCCCGGTTGCTCGATTGCACCGTCAAAAGCTATTTAGTCCTACGTAACCCTGATACCCTCATGCATATCATTGTTAGTTCAGTGTCCGTTCATGGCAGCCGCTTTCTCTCCATTTCTAACCTGCGTTACACCCTCTTGCAGTCTGCAGAAGCCCGTCCCGTCGGCGCGCGCGAGTCCCGAGACGGACGGCGACTCGATGACGATGCCGGACCCGGGTCCGGAGCCGCCGCCGTCGGAAGACTACCGGCTCAACATTCCGCGAGACTCGGATCCGGAGCGGCACGCCAAAAACTGCCACATGGCCGCGCTCGGTGGGTCCGCCGGCGTCAGAGCCGTGTGGGGTGGGACAGTGGCTCGCTGATCCCGTAGGCTGTAGTTACTGACTCGATACAATACTATGGTTCGGCCACTGGGCGAGGGTGGAAAATGCTTTTCGAGCGAGCGATTTAGCGCATCTTTTGAGCCAACAGATAATGGGTTCAGCTCTGGTTCAGTTTGTGAGGAAGGGGGAGTATGGAGAACAGCTGTACTCCAGTTCCGTCGCCGCGCTAGTGATAACATAGGGATAGGTGTGAGGTGAAACAACAGGGATAGAATCTCACCT